TCCCCTGGGCCAAGTTCTCTATGAATTTGCTGAGAATGAAGATAGGCAAGAGCATAAAGCTGGGAATTAAAGGGGTTTATTCTCATGGCTCGGCCTCACTCACACTGGTAGCTCTCTCAGCTCTCTCCCACACCTTACTGCGCTGAAGCCCGACTCCTGGGGTCTCTCCTGCTCTAGTGGGAACTCCCCCTTGCTCGGCTCTGTCTCCTCCCCCTGCCCCTCACCCTGGGAGAAACTCAGTGGGCAGGTCCTTGATGATTGGCAGACATGTGACCAATTATGTACCAGGAATAGGAGAGAGGAGAGAATTGGTGCTTTGCCTCCACCCCTATCCTGGGCCAGCATTCCTGTGACTGACCAGCCTGACTTTAGTCCCAGTAAACATCCCATAGATATGCAAACAGGTCATATATATGGACAATGGGTGCTTTTAAGGCCAGGTGTAGAATCCTGGTCAGAAATATCCATTTTCCCCACAGGAAGCTATTTCTGATTTTCTTCCTGTAAAGACAAGAGCCCAGAACTAAAGCAGCCTCAAGAGATTCTCCACTGGTATTAAGAATCTTTGTCACTTTGCTATTTCATTCAACCTTCTAGTCTTTACCACAGGCCTTTTCATTTTTCTGTTTTATTTTGGACAAGTAGGGATGCAGCTTATCTTATATGTTCTGGTCACTGGGGTGACACAGATGGAATGCAGCTCTTCCATCAGGTTCTTTACCGACCTGCCCCAAAAGCCTCCTTTCTTTGCATTGGGAAGTTCTCAGAACACAAACTCCATCCAATGCTCCTCCACTCCTCCAGTTCTGGGGTGATAGGGACATAGTTCCCACACAGTGCAGATAAAGTGGTCATCAGATGCCGGGTGACCTGGGCTTTAGGAGTTGGCAAGGGTTTTGCTCTACTCAGAGCAGGAGTGCAATGACCTTCCCTTTTCTCCCTCTGGTCTGCCTTGCTTTCTACTGCCTGAATGGCTGCACAAATAAAAGAACCACTTTTCCTGGCACTGTGCAACTATAGCTCTGGGTGGAAAGCATGTTCCCAGCCCTGAGCAAATAAACCAGGGAAACTAGTGAAGCTGAAATCAGTCAAGGGAAAAGCTAAATGGGAGAAGCTCTCTATTGTTTACAAAAGGCCTGACTCTGAATCTCTCCTGCAGCTAATCTCTCTAGTCATTCCTCTCCCGTCAGGGCATGCACTGGCCTCTCCCCAACCCACCCCCCGCCCCTTCTGGGAGAAAACTCCACAGGTGAGCCCTGGTGACAGACAGGTACCGGACCAGCTGTGCAACAGAGAGGAGAGAGCAGCTTCTCTCCAGCCCTTGTCCCCAGAGGCTGTGAGAGGCTGCAGCCATAAACAGCTATTATTATGTAAAATGACTAAGGCCACACTGAGAGGTTCTGGAAATACTGCGATTTTTACCAAATTTCATTTTAATGAATTCCTTTCCTACTTGCACTCCTTTGACCTATTCTGAAATCAAGGTTGAGGTTTCACCTAGTGTGCAAGGAGAGAGCTTCCGAGACAGGAATGCCCAGCAGCAACTGGACTGGTAAACCTGGCAAAATGTCCAAGTCTGACATTACCAAATATTGGCAAGAACCTGAAGGAATGAAACCCTTATCCTATGAAGGATACTAATGGGGAGAAAATTACTTTCTACTGTAGTCAAAGATGTACCTACCCAATGGTCTTGCATTTTCACTCACTAGACAACCTCTCAAAACACACACGAGGAAAAATATAATCTTCATTGCAGCACTGTTTTTAAGAGCAAAATATAAATATGAAACAATCTAAATGTCCAAAGGATACATAAATACTATGTATACAAATACAAAAATATATAAATAAAATGGATACATAAATTGGGGGATGTTCATCCAATGGGATACTTATACAGTAGTCACCTTGAATGAATTCGAACTACACTTCTTAAAATATTTGAATCTCACAAATATAATGTTGAGTGTAAAAAAGCAAGTTACATATCTATACAACATAGTACTTTTTATATAAGTGCTAGTCAAGAATACTTCAAATTCTTTAACAAACACACACATACATACCAGGCTGACAAGCACTAAGCTTAGGATAGTGAATTTGGTGGGTGGGAGAGATGTATTATACAGGCAACTTAGTATTTATCTGAGTCTGGGTCTTGTACATGACTTTTGACTTGTTTTGGATTATCGAGCTATTCACTATTTTATGATGTACATTTAAAAAGAAAATTTTAAATGTGAAAATCAGAAAGGCAAAATAAAGTGACTGCATTCAGGGAGTTTTGGCATAAATGAAAATAAAAATAAAGTGATTTTATTCAGGAAGTTTGTCATGGTAAACAAAACAAACCCAAGCTTTTCCAACAGGGACCTCCACAAACAAATGCTGTTTGAATTCCTTCCTTCCCCTTTCTTGTTAGCCAACAGGCTATCCCTGCAGTGAACGTTTTGTTTTCCATTACAAAACTTAAAATCGCCAAATCACTTCTACCTTCAGAGCCAAGTGGAGGGCTAGCCCAACCTTGGAAGTGTAAGTCTGAGGGCTGTAGTAGCCTCAGGCGGGAAGTGGGAGATTATAAATGTCCAATGAGAGAAAGGCCCTGCAGGGGGCTGGGATGGCCTGTCTTCATTTCATAGTCTTTGGAGCAACTATCCTGATTGGACTTGGCACCCGTACTGATCCTCAAACTATAAAAAACAAGACAGGACACAAATTCATCTATTCATGAGGTGAAGGCTGTAAAGACAATAAAAATTTTAAGACATTTAAAAATAACTTTCAACACTGCTTATAACAGTAGTTCTGTATGTGAGTCCTTTTACTTTTTTTGTAGTAACACTTTTGTTTTGATCTGCCTGGGGGCATAAACCTTACAAAATGTATATGTACAGAAGAACTTTACTTACCACTGGCGCTAAGGGAAAGTAATAAGGATCTTCATTTATAGCTAACGAGGGAGTGTGGGAGCCCTGAGACCTTTTACAAACATTTGTGAAATCAATATTAAGACTTTTTCTTTTTTATTCTGTTGTGGGATGGGGAATTTTTCCCTACCTTTCATGGTGCTTCTAGCTGGTCTAATGATGCAACTGACATGAGGCAGATTAACAGAGAAAAATAACAAAGTTTCATGATGTGTGCTCAGAAGCTCAATAATGCCATTGAAATCTAAAGAAATGACCATGGTAGACAGTTTTTATTCTTTTTAGACAGAGTGATAAAAATATGAGGAATTGACAGGGCAAAAAAAATAAGTTCTGTTCGGGAGCTTCAATTAAAAGGAATTCTAAACAAAATTTGGGTTGGGGTAGCAAAATAGTAAAAGTGACAAGGTTTGTTACTTCATAGAATAAGGTTGTCTCTTTACCTCCAGGTGTAGAGAGGATACCTTTTACCTGAGAGCTTTATTTCCTGCTTTCTGGAGATAAAGAGGGGCCCAAAGTGTTCTTACACAGGCTGTGCCTTAACTGACTTTTAATTAAAAATAATCAGTTTGCCAAAGTGGCGCGCTTTGGGGCAGCCTGCCTTTGACCACTACAGTGTTTATTCTCTTATCACTTTTTTCAGAGGCTGTGTGTTATGTTACACTGTAAGAGATTGGATGCAGAAGCAGATATGAGAATTCAGGTGTCTTCTGTTAAGTTAGACATTAAAGAGATTTCAAAAAAAAAAAAGTTTAATTATTGGGAAAAAAAGAAAGATTTCTAAACACTAACTAGCAGTATGTAGGGAAATGTAGAACAATTATCACCTTTCTCAAAACATCTGTTTGGGGAAGTTATTTTTCATAAAATGTATGATATGCATGTTAACATGTAATGTTAAACAATAACCACATTGTTATTTAGAGTAAATAAGAAAATAAACATTTGAAACCCTCTACATTTTGATGTCCAATATAGTAAGTATTGGCAGACATAACCCACATAAACAGAAGCACTTTGGAATCTTCAGTGAATTTTAAGAATGTCACAATATGCAAAGCCCTGGTCTCTGCCCTATCATAGAAGGCTTTGCTGATGAAGTGGTCACTTCACTCCTTGCTCCTCCTATGGGTGCTGCTGTCTGGTCATCTCCAGCTCCACAAAGACCACCAGAGATAGTTCGGCCAGGAATCTGTTGAATAAAGATTATATTTTACATTTTTTTTCTAAGTCTCAGTGCTCTCGGGGATAGCTCTGGGGTGTCTGCTGATGGCTGGAGACCTTGTCGATATTTTCCTACTTGGAACTTTCAGACAAGAGAGTCCAGATATTTGAGGATCACCATGGGACCGCTGCTTTTCAGAAGTTAAGCAAGGCATGGCTCAGGCAGGTAAATGATATTCCTTAGGAAGCCATTTGCAACCACACATTTTGGGGGGCATTCTCTATAGCCCACTGCAGGGCATGTAATCACTGTTCAAACGGGGTTTGGAAGGGAATGAATAATTTATGTAAAGGACAATTTGAAATAGATTTACGCATAATTACTGGTGGTGAATGACTTGTTAGCTGGCAGAAATCAGGCAAAAAAGCCTTTAAACCCACTTCCTAGTGTGATGCCGCGTTCCTTTCTCTGCTCCCACTGGGGCAGGTAGGCTTTACCCGTCCCACGGTGACAGGCGATACTTGGTGTGGAAATGCTATGCCAGGGTTCAGTCGCGTCTGTCAGACTTGCCAATCACTCTCCACCAGGTCCTGCGCTCCCCGACCGCGACAGGCAGGGAGACACCGGACGGGAACCCCTGGCTGAGCCCAGCGCGGGAGTGCCGCCGAGGCAGGAAAGGTGTAGAAGGAAGGGTGGCAAAATGTGTGCGGCCGGGAGGCCAGAGGTTGGCACTTCCGGCAGGTCCCCGACCGGCTGGGCGACCTTGCGGCAGCGGACTGCGCCTTCGCGCGCAGGTGTGGGGCCCGCGTGGACCTGTCCGTCAGGGGGCGCGGCGGCTTCCTCCCTCCTGCCCCGCCGGCCCGCGCCCGGTAGGCCTCGCTGGCTTCTCCCGGTGAGTCGCTGCCTGGGGATTCCGTTCAGGCCCCCTGCCCGGCGGCTCCCGAGGCGCAAGGCAGGCGCGCGCGGCGCGCTGGTGGGGACCGGGCGCCACGACGCGCCCTGGGCTGGGGCCGCGGCGGCGAGGGGGGCGGGGGGCGTGCGCCTGTGCGGCCCCGGCCGGGGGGCAGAAGGGGCTGCCACCGCGGCCCGGAGGAGACGACCCCCCTGCAGCCCCTGCCGCGACCTCCCCACCGACCTCCGAGCCCTCGGGCCGGTGGCGCTGGTGCGCGGGTTCCGAGCTCGGGCGCGGGGAGCCGCAGCCGCAGGGAGGGAGCGGCCGTGGCGGGAGCGCGTGGGGCGGACGTCGGAGGCTCCCCTGCGAAGGGAAGGCTGGTGGCCTGGGCTGGGATCTCTGCGATCCGGAGGCCGCCGCGCAGTGCCGGCGGAGGGCGCGCTCGGCGCGCGGCCCTCGGGGCTCGGGGCTCAGCGGGCAGGGCCCCCACCCTCGTCCTTCTTTCTCGCAGCGCGCTGCGGGGATGCTGTCCTTACTGCTCTGCGGCGCGTCCATCGCTCTTCCACTTTTTGTCGGAGCAGGTACGTTCACTTTGCCCCGGGGTGCCAGAGGTCACCGTCCCCCGCAATCACCCTGCCCTCCGCACGAGCCCCCTGCGGCCCTCGGGGACGGCGCGGGACCTCAGCCCGCGATCCGCCTCTCCGCAGTGGGCCAGGCGCAATGCCGCACACCCAGGAGATTGGGTTTCAGTTCCAAGCGGGCGATGCTCGCTCGTGCCCCAGCTACCACCTTTGAGCTCCAAAGGGGCTTTGCAGAGGAGGACAGACAGATTTGCAAGTCAAGACCTGACGTAAAATGCTTAAATGGATATAATACTATTTTATATGACAAAGGGTCATTATGACCCTGGGTAAAATCAACTATCCACAGAACAAATTTGTCCTTAGAAAAACTAAGCAGTTTCGTACAAATGAACTTTAAAGTAAGTGTATTTACTTAAGAATCCTTTTTTTAGGTTGAGATGCACTGTTTATTCAAGATGGAGTGAAATAACTGGGTGGCATGGCAGAAAAACCCAGGACGTGGAGGGCTCAGAACAGGAGCGTTTTCTCTCAAGGAGGAGGAGGAGGAAATTAAGGGCCTTAGAATAGAAGAGAAAGAGGGAAATCATTTCAAATGGGGGAGATAACTGGTGGGAGGTAATGGAGTAAACGCTGTCCATGGACACATTTGAAGACTTGCATCAGTGAAGCTCTCACAGCAGCAGGCTATTTTTAGGAAACCTCCACACTGAGAAAACTCTCCAAAACAATTTCAAATTCACTGGAAAATTAAAGAAGCAGTTGTTAAAACTAATAAAATATAACACTAGAGTTCTCTTTCATGATTATTATTTCTTATTTTCCCTAGATTCATGCAAGGATACTGGTGTGCAAAATGAGACACCTGCCATAGGCCAGCCTTTTGCTTTTAATTGCACATACCCTCCTATAACATCAGGAAAAGTATGTGTAACATGGTATAAATATCCTAGCAGAACGCCTATATCCAAAAACATAGAGTCTAGAATTCACCAGGAAGAACAATGGATTTTATTTCTTCCCTTGAAAATGGGGGACTCTGGGATCTACCAGTGTTTTATGAAGTAAGTTCTTCATTTTAAATACTTTCTTGCTCTTATGTATATATTTTTATAATTGCATTATATATATTTTTTACTATATGTGTAAAATTCATTTAGGAAAACTCTTAGTAAACTTTTAACAAATGTAGAAAACACAATTAAAAGAATAAAATATACAGATGACTTGAGTAGCACAGGTTTGAAATGCACAGGTCCACTTACATGAAGATTATATCCATAAATACTGTACAGTACTATAAATGTATTTTCTCTTATGATTTTCTTAATAATATTTTATTTTCTCTATCTATTTTTATTATAAGAATACAGTATATAATATATATAACATAAAAAATGTGTGGTAATGGACAGTTTATGTAATCACTAAGGCTTCCAGGCAGCAGTGACCTATTAGTAGTTAGGTTTTTGGGGATCAAAGTTATACTTAGATTTTTTATTGCCAGGATGGGGATAAGGAGTGTGTGTAGGGGGAAGGAATGGGATGAGGGGTGAGTGGTTTGTGCCCCTAACCCATGCATTGTTCAACGTCAACCATAGTTTTGTAATTGCTACAAGGCGGTTTCCACTGAGCACTTTTTAAAACAGAACAGATTTGTAAGTCAGTTGTTGAAACATGAAAGGCATCTGTTCTATTTAAATGATGCCAAAAGCCAGACCAGGTCACAAAGCCTGATTTTCCTATATTGCTGCCTTCTTTCTTGGAATGCCAGAAGTTTTTCTGACAGGTGACCCATCCAGATGACAGTAAGCCTCCTTTGAGCATCCTTCTATAGGGGATCTGCCATAGGAATTTCACAGTGACTAAGCATCAGCTCTATTTTAGAACCCATGCAATGCCCCATGTAAAAGAGTAATGGAAATGAGCGACACAAGTCTGGTGAGACGCAGTTGAGCCTGGTAGGGACTGTGGTGAACAGGAAAGCAGATACATTTCCCACCAAAGGTGGAGGTCAATTCAGCTCAAATTCTTTTTCCATTTTTTCGAGGGAAACTGGAAATTAGAGAGAGAGAGTGTGTGTTTGTGTGTGTAACTTTTCAACAAGTTTTGTGTCTGTGGCTTAAATAAAACACATCTGTGGACCAGATTTTGCCTGAGAGCCCCAATTTTGTTACCCTCTTTTGCTCACATGTGTGACCTTAACAAATGATTTGGGTGTTGGGTCAATGATAACCTTTATGCATTGGGACCTCTGGGTCTTGGTTTTCTTTTCTGTTAAATGGAAAAAATGCTGGCCTGATAGGATTGAAGGGAAAATTATCTGAGATCATGTGTGGAGTAGGTATTTGAGAAATATGGTTGCATTCACCCTCTTTTGTTTTGTTTCTGTGTTATCTGTCAGCCCATTTCTGTGTCCCAGGGTGGCCATGTCCCACTCTGATTTCTGCCAGAGTCCTCATTTCTGTATGTCAGATCGACTCAAGCTACAGAATGACTTAGTGGTAGCAGAAGTGGTTGTGAGCCCCAGTTTGCCTGGCCCCTTTCCACCATTTCACCCACTGTGGAGCTCAAACTGCTGATGTCTTGTGGAAGTCTGCTCTCCTGATTTACTCTAGGTTATGAGTTAACTAGAGTTGAGATCGTATGTCACATAAATTCATCTGGGTGTCTGGGCTGGATTTAAAATACTTACATCCAGGAGCTATGAAATGGGGGAAAATAATCTTTCATGGAAAATAGACAGAAATGTCTGTCATGGAAGAAAATAAAGATGAATTCTCACAAATTGCAGCTACAGGTATGATTCATATTTGGTAAAATGTATATCTTTGAAATAATTTCAAATACACATAAAATTTGCAAAAATACTATAAAGAACTCCCATTTACCCTTTATTTAGAGTCTTCATTATTTAACATTTGCTGTGTTTACCTTATCATTCTTTCTATTTTCATCTATCTGTATATTACACACATACAATTTCTCTTTTTTTTGACACTTTTTAAATCATTTTTCCCAAATCATTTTAGGTATATATGTCATTGCTCTTTACCATTTAATATTTCAATGTGTATCAACAAGAACATTCTCCTGCATAATCACAGTGCAGTCACCACATTCAGGAAGCTGAGCCATCATGCAATACTTCTATCTAATCCCCAACCCGTTCTATTTTTATCAGTCATCTTAATGATGACCTTTGTATGTTCTTTTTCCTTTCCCACAGAGGACGCAATTCCAAGCTCATGCGCTGTACTTATGTCACGAATTTTAAGTCTCTTTTCACTTGTAACAGTTTCTCAGTCTGTTTTCCACGATGTTGACATTTTTGAGAAACACAAGCAATTATGTGATGTACTGTCTCTTAATTTGGGTTTGCCAGGACATTTCTTCATGACTAGATTCAGGATGAGGCTTCTTGGCTGGAATACTATATAAGTAGTTTGTGTCCTTTTTAAACAACACACTCAGAGGCATGTGCTGTCCATTTGCCCCCTCACTGGTGATGTTTATTTTAATCGCTTGGTATAGTGTTGTCCAATGTTTCCACTATAGAAATACTTCATTTCCTTGTGTAATTAATGGTTTATCAGATGCATATAGTCCGGTTTGAGGTAGAAGGTTTCACAGGACCTTGAAGATGATCTGGAAATATTTGAAGATGCGCAGAATCATTTGACACTGTGATCATTTGAGTTTATGAGGTTTCAATCTGCCATTTTCTTACAGTGATACAAACTCCTGTCACAGAATAAATGTAAACCTAACTGTGTTTGAAAAATACTTCTGCGATACTCTCAGAGACAGTCAACCGAGTTTATCAGATGAGTATAAACAAATATTACATGCTGGAAGAGATGACAGTCTCACATGTCATCTGAACTTCCCGAAGAGCTGTTTTTCAGATTCAATAAAGTGGTATAAGGTAAAAACATAATTTTCCTATTGATGTTTTTCCTCTTCTTACTTAAAACCCACTGTTTCTTTAAAGTTTAAATTGTATGTTTTAAGGCGGAATTGGTAAAGAGATGTGTATACCTAAGGGATTTGTTAGCTAACTGCTATTGGTAATTTTACCCTTCTAATTATTTATTTTTAAATTTATGGTAATTAGAGCTGTGTAATACTTAATTACTTCATTCCACCACTTCCCCTGAGTTGTCCTTATTTTTCAGACTATCCTTGGTTATTCTTTTTTCCTAAGAGATTAATTTGGTGATTTGCTTGAATGGGCACTGCTTGGGAGTGAGTCAGTTCACTAAGCAGTCACCAGCTAAACAAAAGGCCCCTTCCTACTCCTGATCCACATTTGCTCTGAGTCCACCACACCTTCCCTAACACATGGCAACCATTGTTAGCTCCTTGCCCTCTTTGCATGATCCTTGTATAATGCAGAAAAGCAAATGAAACTATATATATCCTGGTCCTTCCTTTTTTATGCAAACTGGGAATCCTATGCTCACCTTTCTGCACCTTGTGTCTTGACCTTCGAACATTCTCTTTTCTTGACTGTACTGGCAGATGATAACATATAAGACACAGTCCTTGGCACAGAGGACCACAGGCTACTTATCTGAGATTGCAGCTCATGTCCTGCTAACTGCTTGCTAGCGCGCTCGCCAGTACCACCATCTGGGTCAGGAGTTCTCTTTGTGGGAAGGTTTTCATCTACTGAGTCAATTTCTTTAATGATGGTAGCATTGAAAAAATTTCTTATTTCTTGAATGAATTTTGGTGAGGTTTGTTTTCTGGGAAATTGCCAATTTCATTAAATATTTTGGGTACTCTAGCATGAAATTGTTTACCATCTCTTATGTCTGCTTCTATAGTAAGTTTCATTTTTTAATTCCTATTACAAACATTTCTCTCTCTCTCACACACACACACACACATACTCACTCACTTGTTTAGTCTCATAAGAGATTTGTCAGTTCTATGACTTTTTCAATTTTGGCCTTTTTGACCCTCTCTTTTATGTTTCATGTCATTTAATTTGTTTCTATTTTCCTCTCTCCCAAGGAATTTGGCAGTGAATGTCCTTATCCCTGTCTGTTAATGCCCATTTGCCAGTGTGCGAGTTTAAGTACACATAACAATTAGCCTTAAAATGTCAGGTTGCACACTAAGCACATGAATAACGTATGCAGCTGTATCGATACTGCCAAATGTCTCTAAGCCATTTTATATCAGTTTATACCCTCACGAGCGGTATTCTGGATTTTGTAAAACTTTGTGTGGGACTTTATATTGTAAGACTTATTTTTTTTTATCAGTTTCATGGGTATAAAATGTTACATTATTATTGCTTTAATTTGCTTTTCCTTAATTATTAGTGAGACAGACCAATTTTTTTCATGTGTTTATTGGCCGTTTCTGAATCCTCTTCTGAACTGCTTAGTCATATCCTTTGCTGTGTTTCTTTTTTCATTTTCTTACTTACAGGAGTTTTTATATATTTATATATCCTGGTACCAATGTTTGAAATAAATTATGACTTTTCATTGAAGTATACCACATATATAGAAAATGCATGAATCATAAGTGGACAAACTTGATGGATTAACAAACTGACACACCTTCTAAAGATCCCTTCCACCCAAGTCAAGATCTAAAACATCCCAGCACCTCAGAAGGCCCATTTCTGCTGTCTTCCAAACATTATGCCTCCCTAACTCCCAAAGATAATCACTCTCCTGACTTATACTTATTTGTTTTACCAGTTTATGAATTTTATTGAAATTGAATGATGTTCATATCTTATTTTGTGTCTGGCTTCCTTGGCTGAACTTGTGAGAACCACCTGTGCTGTCCCAGGTAGCTCTTGAACATTTGTTTTCATTGCTGAATAGTGTTGCAATCTTACTACTGGACTTTTGAACTGTTTCCGATTTTAGGCTATTAGGAATACAGCTGCTGTGAACATTCTTGGATATATCTTTTGGTTCCCATATGCATGCATTTCAGTGGGACATTTACCTAGGAGTGAAATGGTTAGGTCATAGGGAATACGGCCAAAGTTAATAGAAAATGCTAGCCAATTTCCAAAGGGCCTGCCAATATA